GAACCTGGGAGGCGGAGGCTGCAGTGAGCCGAGTTTGCGCCATTGCATTCCAGCCTGGATGACAGAGCAAGACTCTGTATCCAAATAAATAAATAAATAAATAAATAAATAAATAAATAAATAAGTAATTTCTTTCTTATGGCTGAATAATAGTACTTTGTAATATTTTCAGTATTGTGTACTTTTAAAAATTAATTTTAACTGCTTACTTTTTCTTTATTTTATTTATTTATTTTTTTTGGTAGAGATGGGGACCTCACTATGTTGCCCAAGCGGGCCTTAAACTCCTGGGCTCAAGCGATCCTCCCCTTTAAGCCTCCCAAAATGCTGAGATTACAGGCGTGAGCCACCTCGTTCTGCCACCATTTTATTTTTTGAGTGATTTCTTATTGTCTTAATTTCTTGGATGACTAACAATGATGCTTGATAGTATCACCCTAGCATAAGGATAGCATCATCCTTAGCAAGAGAGTTGGGCGCTGTTACCGGTAGATGGCGCTGTCGATCTTTTAAAGAGCGAGCTCTCCTGCTCTCCCACTTGGAACTCGCTGAGTCAAAACACAGCCTGAATAGTTTAGGAGCTCCAAAGCCCCGCATATCTCCACTTTCCAAATTTTCTCTCATTAAGACCAACACAAATTTTACCTTTATTACGTGACCTGCTAAGACAATTTATAACACTTTTTATTATTGAAATTTTCAAACTTACACAAAAATAAAGAAAATGTCTCTGTTTACGTACCATGCAACTTCAACAATTATTAGCATTTACAAATCTTGGAACAATGTTATTTTCTCACATTATGTTCTATCTCATCCCTCTTAAAGTGTTATGGGATGGGATTCGAGACCAGTCTGACCAACATGGTGAAATCCCATCTCTACTAAAATACAAAATTAGCCGGGCGTAGTGGCGTGCCCCTGTAATCCTAGCTACTCAGGAGGCCGAGGCAGGAGAATAGCTTGAACTCAGGAGTCAGAGGTTGCAGTGAGCCAAGATCGTGCCATTGCACTCCAGCCTGGGTGACAGAGTGAGACTCCGTCTCAAAAAAAAAAAAAAAGTTATGGAATGGGAAATCCATGCTCTAGGCTCAGTAAAATCACTCTACATTAGGAAAGTCTTGGAAACAGACTACATTTCAGCAGGGAGAGGAGGAGAATTGATTATTTCATTCAAGAAAATAGCCTTAACTCACCGCCCTGACCAATAACCAGGTAATGTGGAATCTGCCCATAAGATTCCTCGTGGATAGCAAAAATAGAGCACAACTGGGCTTTTGAATACCTCTTACATCTGCCTGCCTTTGTCATGTCTATTTCCAATCTGATTTCACCCCCTTCCTATCAGGATCTTAGGATCATAGGGTGCAGCTGATCTCAGCTCCCTTCCTTATAGTGAGACCAAGATAAGTTGACTAGGCCTGGAAATATTCTCAAGAGAAGTTTTAGAATGGAGTTTACTGAATTTCCACTGAGTCATGTCTGAAGATAAATCACAGGGCATCTATTCAGCAGTCCAGGCTGGTGTCTATCTTACTTCCTGAATGTGGGTCTTGGGTATCCCTCAGAGCAGCTGTCTGATATCAAGAAGGGAAATGTGTGCTAGAGATGGTTTACTGTTATAAGTCAAACAAATAAATTACTGAATAAACCATGTTCAGCTTTTGTCCTGATAAATATACCTTCATCCTGATCTTGAAGGCTAGTGTAGCAGATACTGTTGTGTGCCACCCAAATCCTACCTTCACTATTGTCACTCATTCCCCAGCTGCCCAGAGTGTTGGTTGTGACAGTTCCCTCTCTGCTGAAAAGAGCTGCCTTGCCCAAGGTTATACCTCCCCTCCCTGGAGCAGCCACACCCAGTGACTGGCAGATAAGAACATACAAAGTCCTGGTTATCTTGCCTCTAGTTTGGCCAACTTTAAAGGACTAGCCCAATGCCAGAGACCTCCGCAACCCATGAGATCAGCTCAGTCCTCTTTACGTCTTCATTACAGTTCAACTTCTATCTTTCCCTGTCCCGTTTCTCTCAGCCTTTAAAGATGTTTATCCCAAGATTGTTCCCCAATAAACCTTCTGCAGACAAACCTATCTTAGAATCTGTTTTCTGGGAATCCAAGCGAAGACAGCCAGGCTGGAATTTAGAATTCTGAGACTCCCCTAGGTCCCATGGCAGAATATGGCTGAGTGAGGAAAGCTAGCTCTGGGTCCTCTACCTGCAACTGCCCTACTTTCTTTCCTGAAAATTCAAGTCCCCTGAAACCTCCAGACCCATATCCTTCTCTGAAAACAGCCACCCTTTGGGGCCTCAGAGCACGCACAACAGCAGCAGGGCATGCCCACGCGAGGATGGGCCCCAGGAGGAGGCCCATGCAAGCTTGGAAGCAGGCGTGGGGGCCATTTGTGCCAGGAATTCAGGGGTTCCCAGTACCTAGACTGTAGTACTTGTAGAAGAGATGCAAGCTTCATGGCTAGGCCTATCCCTTTGGCTTCTCAGACTTTTTGTCCTATAAGATGGGGGAAAGATAGAGCAGGTCCCTCTAAATCATGGAGCCCAGGCAGGGTCCTCATGTGCTTGGATCCAAGGGTGGGAAAACTTTTTCTACCTAATTTAAGCCAGTGGCATTTGGGTCTCTGTTGCAAGCAGCCAAAAATTTATATTTTGACATATCTAGTTGACTTCCTGCACTTCTATGCCCATCTTCCTAAAAGAGAATAGTGTATCTCTCTAAAAGGGACTTCATTCTTTACTCTCAGGTCCTAGAATACACTGATGTTCCCTATATTTTAATGATGTTTTCCACAATCAAAATCTGATTTCATTAGGAAATCCTTTCATGCAAGAGATGTCTCTAATTAAAAACTATCCAAATAACTTCTCCAATAACCAGCCACAATGGCCTTTTGGCTCTCCTCCCTGCTGAGGGCTTATGTCCCCAGATATCCTTTGACATCCATCAGCCCTGCTCTCTATAGTGACAGTCTGCAGGAACATTTCCATTTATTGCCTCTCCAGTGATTCTCAGCCCTTTGCAAACAAAATTCCATCCAGTTCCTTCACAGGGCAGTCCTTTGAAAACTATGAGCCTCTATTGTTAGTCATGATATGCGGAGATTGTTGAGGGTCTCAAGTACCAAATCCACCTACTGCAATGCATTGAGAAAACATGCATCGATTGCTTGTTCTGATAATGTACTATGGAGTGTAAGAGCTTACCACTGGGGAGCTGCATGAAGAGTGCACAGGACATCTCTGTACTAATTTTGCAACTTTCCATGCATCTTTAATTATTTGAAAACAAAAAGAGAAGGAGAAAAAAAAAAAAAGAGGAAGAGGCAGGACATTAAAAAATATGTCCTTATGGACGGGCTCGGTGGCTCACATCTTTAATCCCAGAGTTTTGGGAGGCCGAGGTGGGCGGATCACCTGAGGGCAGGAGTTCAAGACCAGCCTGAACATCATGGCGAAACTCCGTCTCTACTAAAAGTACAAAAATTAGCCAGGCGTAGTGGCAGACGCCCGTAATCCCAGCTACTTCGAAGGCTGAGGCAGGAGAATCACTTGAACCTGGGAGGCGGAGGTTGCAGTGAGCCAAGATCTCCCCACTTCACTCCAGCCTGGGCAACAAGAGAGAAACTCTGTCTCAAAAACAAACAAACAAAAAAACAACAAAACAAAACAACAACAACAAAAAACTCCTTATTCAAAAATTGAGGCCGTTCCAGATAAAGGAACTCTCTTTATTCCTACAGTTTTGGCTCCAAACTTTACTGTGGCTTCCTACCTTAGTGAACTGGATTAGTGAGCATGTGTGATTGCAGTGACTCTGCCTAGACAAGAGGCAGGGCAGCCTGCCCTGTCCCATGAGTCCTTCCCCTTGGGCTCCCATAAAAGGGGTGAGGTGTCTTTCCCCAGCAGCAGGAGGCGTTGAGTAATTCTCATGACACCAGCCTTAAAAAAGGACTTGGCTTGCAGTCTGCCACACACATCTCCCTCAGGGCCCCAGCAAGGCCACCGCAGCTGGTAGGTGCTTAATGGAGGATTTTTAGGATTTTGCATCTTGGTTATCTCATCGCTGAGGACTCGACCTGCATCTGGCATAGTCTAGGAGATGGAATTGAGGAAGGCCTATGCACAGAGTACTGGGAATTAGAGAGCTGAGTCACCGGAGAGTCTCGAACCTCAGAGCAGCTGCCTTTCTCTTGGACTCAGGCCAAGATTGAGAGAGACTGATGACATATGGCATCTCACAGGTTCCCAGGGGCACAAGGTTATTTGCAACCACAGCAGCTCCATTGGCTAAGGAGGCCTTGGGTTTCTGCAGGGATAGGAAGAATCAGAGCAGAGAAGAGCAGATGGAATGGTGATCGACGTAGGGCCCTGAAGTTTACTTGGTTGTCTTCTAGAATTGTGAGGTGCTGTGTTTACAAAAAAAAGCATAACTTGCACTGTGCTCAGTCTCAGGATCCCAGGGAAAAGGGCTAAATAAAGACAATCTGCAATGCATTGGAAGGAAAAACTGAGAGGCTTATACATTTATGAGAGGTATCCCCACTATAGATTTGTACATTTTCCACAATGTAAGAATGTCCAGATGCCATTAAAAAAAGACTAAGTGTATTTATTCATTTATCTATTTTTATTGACATTGTAATTGTATATATTCAGATGCCTTTTTTTTTTTTTTTTTTTTTTTTTTTTTGAGATGGAGTTTTGCTCTTCTTGCCCAGGCTGGAGTGCAATGGCATGATCTAAGCTCGCTGCAACCTCCATCTCCTGAGTTCAAACAATTCTACTGCCTCAGCCTCCAGAGTAGCTGGGGCTGGGATTACAGGCATGCACCACCATGCCCAGCTAATTTTTCTGTGCTATGTAGAGACGGGGTTTTGCCATGTTGGCCAGGCTGGACTTGAACCCCTGACCTCAAGTGATCCTCCTGCCTCGGCCTCCCAAAGTGCTGGGATTACAGGACTAAGCCACCTCGCCCAGACTTTTTTTTTTTTTAATGGAACTCTTCACAAATGTGTGTGTCATCCTTGAGCAGGGGCCATGCTAATATTCTGTGTGTCAGATGCCCCTTTTTTTTTTAGACGGAGTCTCACTCTGTTGCCCAGGCACTTGCCACCATCCCCAGCTAATTTTTTTTTGTATTTTTAGTAGAGACGGGGTTTCACCATGTTCGTCAGGCTGGTCTGAAACTCCTGACCTCAGGTGATCTACCCGCCTCTGCCTCGCAAAATGCTGGGATTACAGGCGTGAGCCACCGCGCCTGGCCTCAGATGCCACTTTTAAAGAGAAAAAGCAATCTGCATGGATGGTGGAGTTCTTTGGTTTTTGTTTGTTTGTTTGTTTGTTTTTGTTGTTGTTTGTTTTTTGAGACAGAGTCTCACTCTGTCACCCAGGCTGGAGTGCAGTGGCACAATCTCTGCTCACTGCAACCTCCATCTCCCAGGTTCAAACAATTCTCCTGTCTCAGCCTCCCAAGTAGCTGGGACTGCAGGTGCCCTCCACCATGCCCGGCTAATTTTTGTATTTTTAGTAGAGGTGGGATTTCACCCTATTGACCAGGCTGGTCTCAAACTCCTGACCTTAGGTGATCTGCCTGCCTTGGCCTCCCAAAATGCTGGGATTACAGGTGTGAGCCACCACGCCTGGCCTCTTTGTTTTTTAAACTCAGTACACATCTTAGTATTCTAATGTATTGTCTCCTAAATGAGTTTTTATTTAACTATTTAAAATTTTTATCAAATTTATGCAGATAAGTAATCTAAAAAGTCAAATAGTTCTAGAAGACATAACAAAAACTATAGTCCGGTACCAACCCCTAATTCTCTGTTCCTAGAAGTAAAAGCATTTCGATGCTCAATTAATTTTCTTCTTCCTGTTTCTTAATAGGAAGTTATATCAGTCAGGGTTCAGTGCAGGAACTAGAGATTATGCTAGGTAAATTAACAGGAAGACATTTTACTGAGGGTATTAAGAGCTTTTGAAATCTTTAGAAAGGCTGAGGGCGCAGGTTCTAAGCTGGGCTTTATGGAATGATATCCAGAACTATACAGATCTACTAGGTTTTCTTTTGATCATTTGTCTATGAATTTATCACAAATCTGTCAGCAAATTCTACAGAAGTCTATTTTTTTCTCTGCAGTCTAATGTATTACAATTAATCAATTCCCTCTTTTTCTTAGTAATATCTTTCTGTAACCAGGTAAAGGAATTTTCTCAATTCCTGAGGTTTTGGCCCCCCCTTTGTTTTTTGAGATCCACTGTCACCCAGGCAGAAGTGCAACGGTGCAATCTTGGCTCACTGCAACCTCTGCCTTCTGGGTTCAAGCAATTCTCTGCCTCAGCCTCTTGAGTAGCTGGAATTACAGGCATGTGCCACCATGCCCAGCTAATTCTTTTATGTATTTTTGGTACAGACGGGGTTTCACCATGTTGGCCGGGCTGGTCTCAAACTCCTAGCCTCAAGTGACCAACTCACCTTGGCTTTGCAAAGTGCTGGGATTCAAGCATGAGCCACCGTGCCCGGCCTCCAAACCATTTTGATCTGGACCTGGGGATCCCCAGTTCTCCCACACAGCAACCTCCTAGGGTGTCTCTTCAGCATCCTCCTGGGATTTTCATTCTCTTTGCTCTTTGGAGGATCCCACATCTTTATCTTTGTGGATCTAATCCCTTACTTTGATGGAACTTCCTAAGGTAAGGGGCAAGGGAGGGTAATTTTTGAAATTTCGTCTGAAAATGTCTTTTATATTATTATTACATCTGATGAACAGTTTTACTGAAAATAAAATTCCAAGTTGTAAAATTTATACCTAAATTAGGAAAGTACTGCTCCACTATCTTCCAGCTTCCAGTGCTACTGTTGAAAAGCCCTCAGCTAGGCGTTATGGTGCACACCTGTAATACCAGCACTTTGGGAAGCCAAAGTGGGAGGACTGCTTGAGCCCAGGAGTTCAAGATCAGCCTGGGCACCGTAGTGAGATTTTGTCTCTACAAAACATAAAATAAAATTTAAAAATTAGCTGGGCATAGTGGTACACGTCTGTAGTTTTCAGGAGGCTGAGAGGGGATGATCCCTTGAGCCCAGGAATTCAAGGCTGCAGTGAGCCATGATTGTATCACTACACTCCAGTCAGGGTGACAGAGTGAGATCCTGTCTCACTGTTTATTTTTATAAAAATAAAAACAAAAAATAAAGAAAAGAAAAAGAAAAATAGGAGAAACCTCTATACCATTTGAGTTTTGATCTTTTTTATGTGACCTGTTATTTTCTTTTTGTCCAATTTGTGATTTTCCTTTTTGTCCTCAGTATTTTTAAAATTATGATACTATGCCTTGGATTTCATTCCTTTTGTTAGACACTTCTGTTAGACACTTGATGTCTATGTCTGTCTCACTTTGGAATCATATCTCTCAGGTCTGAGAAAAGTTCTTGAATTATTTCTTTGATAATTTCATCCCTTCTGTTCCCTCTGCCTATTCTTTCTAGAAATCCTCCTATTCATCCAGATTATCTAATTTTCATATATTTTCTATATCATCTACATTTCTTTTCCTTTTCTTTCTTTTGGGACAGTGTCACCCAGGTTGGAGTGTAGTGGCACTATCTCGGCTCACTCCAACCTCCACCTCTCCCAGGTTCAAGCGATTCTCCTGCCTTAGCCTCCCAAGTAGCTGGGATTACAGGCGCATGCCACCACTCCTGGCTAATTTTTGTATTTTTAGTAGAGATGGGGTTTCACTGTGTTGGCAAGGCTGGTCTCGAACTCCCTAATCTCAAGTGATCAACCCACTTCGGCATCCCAGAGTGCAGAGATTACAGGCCTGAGCTACTGTTCCCAGCTCCATCCACATTTCTTTATCCTTTGCTTCTTTTTGGAAGATTTCTTCAACTTAAAATTTTTTATTTAACAATGTGTTCTTTTACCATGGAGAAAATATCATCTCTTATGTTTACGAAAATATTAATTGCACCGGATTTTATTATTTGGCTCTTTGCATTCTCTAAATTTCCTCTTCCTTTTTTTTTTTTTTTTTTTGACAGAGTCTCTCTATTGTGATCGAGGGCAGTGGCTTAATCACAGCTCAATGAAGCCTCAACCTCCCGGACTCAAGTGATCCTCCTATCTCAGCCTCCTGAGCAGCGGAGACTACAGGTGCACACCACCGTGCCCGGCTAATTTTTGTATTTATTTGTAGACACAGAATCTCGCCATGTTGCTCAGGCTATTCTTGAACTCTTGGGCTCCAGCGATCTGCCCAGCTTGGCTTCCGAAGGCATTGAGATTACAGGCGTGAGCCACCGCACCTGGCTTTATATTCCTTAATTCTTGTGTTTTCAATACATGTCTTTCATGTCAGTGATTTTCATCCCATAATGACTAGGTTCTTATCAATGTATTGCCTCTCAACCGTAAATGCGTCCTCTTAACTGCTCTGTATTAATGAATTAGGCGGTTCTCCTTCGCAGCCAGCACAGTATCAAGCTTTCTCAGTAGAGGGCGCCGGAGGGACACTGCCGGAGGAAAGTATTTCTTCTGTCTCTGGTTCCGGGAGCTACGGTTTGTGATTCTTGTTGCTCCTGCGGCAGGGCCCATCAATGGCCAGGTGGCAACATCCGGTGGCCTCTACCCCAGCTGCGTGCTGACAGCATGCGTTCCCCCAGCGAGCTCGCCCTGACGTGGACGCTGCCTGCCCCAGGCCTTGCATGCAGTGAGTGGGCTCCCGATGCGGCAACCCTCCAGTTTCCCGCTTGCTCACGACTGTGCATAGGCTTTGGCCTGGGCATCGCAGGGAAATAATCTGGCACCCGGTGGGCACATGCACACTTTCTGCCGCGAGTTCTGAATCCAGCTGTGGGGTGGGGATGCTTCCACGTGTGTCCTTCTTTGGGTACTCTCCCTCGGCCCTATAGCATTCTTTGGAGTTCTCTGCACATCTTTTTAGCTACTCCCCGTTACAGTCAATAATTCTTTCTAATAATACACTTTCTCTGCTCAGATTGGGGCTTGGGCTTTGTGAATGATACAGTAATCCTTGGCTTACTTACATCTTAAGCTGTTTGGAAACTCCAGGTGTGTGTGCTGGGGGTGGGGAGAGGTTTCAGTGGGCTTCGCCATAGTGCAACTGGGCTGAACTGTTTGTCCGAAAGACCCTTGAATTAGGGTCCAGTCAGGTGAAATAAAAAAAATTCAAATATTTAAACAGAGGTAATTTTGTTTTGTTTTATTTTATTTTATTTTATTTTATTTTATTTTATTTTATTTGAAAAGGAGTTTCACTCTGTTTCCCAGGCTGGAGTGCAGTGGGGCGATCTCAGCTCACTGCAATCTCGGTCTACCAGGTTCAAATGATTCTCCTGCCTCAACCTCCCAAGTAGCTGGGATTACAGGCACCTGCCACCACACCCAGCTAAGTTTTGTATTTTTAGTAGAGTCAGGGTTTCACCATGTTGGCCAGGCTGGTCTCAAACTCCTGACCTCAGGTGATCCACCTGCCTTAGCCTTCCAAAGTGCTGGCATTACAGGCGCGAGCCTCCGTGCCCAGGCAGAGGTAATTTTGTATGAAGGATTGTTAACCACATATTAAGATCTAAAAAGACAAAAAGGGCACTGAGATACCGCAGAGGTAGAATGCATGGGAATCAGGAATGGGGCAACTGCCTCTCCCTCAGGCCTGGGGAACTGAGGGAAGAGGTCAGTATTATTCAATGGGAGAGTCTGGGAGGATGGCCCCACAGAGTTAGAACTCAGTTCCCTAAGGAGGAGCTTGGCCAGTGAGCCGGTATCACTGAGGCGGTGGGAAGAGGCCCTTGCCGGGAGTAGGGAAGAACCGCAGTTTGGGACCTGCTACTGCTGCTGGACCAGCTGTTGCTGCAGGGCTGAAGATCCTTGGCTGTGGTGATGCCCGCAGGATTGGGAAGCCAACAAGGGAAGGGGGTCCCTTCTTCCTCCAGTGCTGAAACCTCCCTCTACATCTAAGAGGGAACCAGCTGGAAAGGAGAGAGTGGAAGAGGGTTTTGAAGTCCAGTGACAGTAGCTTAGTATCTGTCAGAACCTCTTACCCCTGTGGTCCTAGGTGTTTTTCCTTGTCTGG